TCAGATCAGATAGCTAAGAAATGACATAGTAAGCACCTGAATGCAGGTAGTCAGCCTTCAGAATCGAAACTAAAGAATCAAAAAGTTAAGTAGAGCATTAAAAGTACACTGACAGAGGGTTCCCTGAGAAAAGCTGAAACAAGTCCTAGGTTAACAACATGCAAATGCATGAAAAATGATTATCTATGCCTACGTACACATCTACACATGTTACCATTCTTACTACTAAATGATTCGTGTGATGGATATAATTTCAATTGCTAAAAAATAGAAAACTTATTTATAAAATGATGTCTTTTATAAAAAACATGGACTTGCACATCCATGAACTCAGGCACATACATGTATTTTTTATTTTTAGGCACACACGTGTAAACACACAATTCACTAGAGTAGCTGTCTCTCAACATGTTTTTGATTTTTAAAATTATCATTTTTATTCAGATGCATTTCAGCATCTGTGGGACAATGAAAATGTACAAACTGTACTTAATTTAGTTTGTCAACATTCTTCTATTGTAGGCTAGCAAAAACCTGGTACAAACACAAACAAATGTATAATACTTTAATCTCTAGAAAATACATATATTCAAAAATATAAATACAATTTTATCCATTTAAATTTAGATATGTAGTTAATAACAAGAGCTAAAGAGAGTTTATTTCACTAGCAAAATATTGATTCAATATATACAAGATCTTGTGATAGCACACAGCAAAAAAAAATGTAACAATGAATATATGTATGTTCATGTATAACTGAAAAATTGTGCTCTACACAGGAATTTGACACAATGTAAAATGACTGTAACAATAAAAAATGTTAAAAAAAGTAAAAAAAACAAAGTTGGAAAGATTATTAGTGGTATATATTAATATAACAGATTAAGAAAAAAATCATCAAAATAGAGGTGAAAAATTCTTGGATAATTAAAAATCCTGACAAAAAGAATACTGAAAGAAAACTTTTATTGAGCAAGAACATACTTCATAGAAGACCGGCAAATTCAAAGAAGGGCATTTCAGGAAGGACTGATGAAACAATCAACTAAAAATATGAGTTACCTGAGAAAGAGCCATTCCTGACTTCTTTGCTATCCTCTTCCTCCTCTCCTGGGCTTCTTCCTCGGGGAACATGAGTCTTCAGAAGTCAATCCTGAAAGTTAGAAGATGCTGCTTAATGCTGAGAACCAACACACTCTTCCCTGTGCCACAACCACACACACAGGGAAGACCTCACCACGTGGAACAGATAGTCCTCTGCTGCCGTCACAGGAGGGACTCAGGACAGGAATCTCCACACGCAGACCAACAAGGGAGTTTCCCCACACTGTCCTTAGATCACTCTCCCCTCCTGGTGAGCCCCTTCCCTACACAGCAGCAGTGGGCACCTCAGCTGGACCTGACAGCCCCCTTCAGGTCACAGACCAGGCCCTGACCCATCCCCACGCAGAGCAGAACCCCCTCCCTCTCAGACCGGATCTCAGCCCTCAGGATGGGAGGACTCAGAGTCAGGATGCTTAGTGAGAGACCCAGACTGGAATCACTGGGCCCCTTAAATATTATTGCGGTTGGACCCCACACAGACTGAATGGGAATTTCTGGTCTGAGGGTACAAAACATCCGTATGAAAAATGCCTCATCGATCTAATGTGAAACTCAAGAGGAGGTGAGCCCAGCACACCTGGCACGTTCTTCTTTCCCAGCTTTACTGAGGTATAACAGAATATAGGTATAAATGAATAAAAATGGTGTACATATAACATGTACAATGTGACTATCTGACAGACGTATCCGCTGTGAAACAATGATCACAATCAAGTAATTTCCACTTCCATTAACCACAATTACCATTTTGTGTCTGTGTGGTGTTACTCTCTCTGCAAATTACAAGGCTGCAGAAACACAGTGTGATTAAGTACAGTCAGCAAGCTGTACATTAGAAGCCCAGACTTACTAATTTTACTACTGAAAGGTTAAACCCTTTGGCCAACATGTCCCCATTCTCATCAACTCCCAGACCTCGGTACCCACCATTCTACCCTCTGGTTCTATGAGTTTAACTTTCTTAGTTTCCACATATAAGTGAGATTATACTGCATGTCTTTCTCTGCCTGGCTTAGTCTACTTAGCATAATGCTCTCCACGTTCATCCACGGTGTCGTAAATGGCAGGACCCTTCATTTTTAAGGCTGAATAATAGTTCATAGTGTATATACCACATTTATCTGTCACTAAACTGTCCTGTTTTTTAGTTGCTATGAATAATGCAGTGTCGCTCATGGGAGTACAAGTATCTCCTTCCAAGTAATGATTCTGTTTCCTTTGGGCAAACAGCCAGAATGGGATGGCTAGACTGTCTCCCTGCCTTATTTTTAATTTTTGAAGAAACCTCCACATTGAGGCCCTAGAACAGTAAGTGGAGGCTAGAAGACTTGAGGGAGGAAACACAAGCGAGGCACAGAGAGAGAACACTTTTCTTCCTCAAGTCACCTAATTGGGAAAGTTCCATCACCGCCATACTACAGAAGACAACAGAGAAGTGTGTGTGGAGGGTGAGTGTGTTGGGTAGAAACGCAAGCTCCTTTCTATAACATGACCCCCTTAGCTTACTGCTTTCTGTTCATTAACTGCTGGGCACTGGGCCACCTGGTGAGTATGAACAGGGCTTTTCCTCTATTTGCTGAATTTCCCTGCAATTACTAGGACTCTAACTCCCTAAACAATGCTCCCAATCCTGTCTCCAAATTCCCTTCCCAGGATAGTGTCTCTCCTCATTACTTCCACATCTAGTTTAAAACATCTTGTTCATCTGCTCCCCAGCTGCCTTGTGACTGGAGAGTGTGTGTGTGTGCACGCGCGCGTGTGTGTGTGTGCTGTTTTGGGACAGATGTGGAGGGAACGGTAGAGAAACCAGTGCTGGCCCGGCAGGAAGAAAGCAGCAGCTGCATTTTTGTGCTTCAATTCACTAGGGTGTTGACAGCCCCCTGATTTCTGGGACAATCTTTCCCCAAGTTGTAGGGCCTTACAGCTCCTCTCATGTTGCGCCTGGAGACTCATCCCTAGCAGGTCCTTCCTGTTAAATCTTTCTGCCATCTGCAACTTAAGACTCAATGTTTCCCTTCTGGATTCAAACAAAGTCTCATGGGGCCCAACACACTCCCCAAACACCCCATAATGATCCCTCATCCTGCTATGAAGCCCCACAAAACATTCCCAGCCTTAATAACTCATGCATTTAGATGGACTAGTGCACACAAAGACATGCAGGACCCAAAAGATCCAAGTCACCATATTGTCATTCAGTGACCTCAGCCCAAACATCTCCAAAGCTACTAATAAGACAGATGTCTCCAAAGAGCCCCAGTGAGACTGCCACATCTTCAAAGAAAACACTCCAAATTCTCTTTAGTACCTTCCAAAATGCTACTGTTAACTTCCTTCACTTGGAATTCAAAATATCTCAGACACCAAAGGATACCCACAAAACGACCTCTGGTATTTCCCCTACAGTTACTCTATGGGATGTGTGATGATACTTGCCATCCCAAAAGATCCCACAGAAGTCACCAAATGGAATGGATTCTGTCGGACAATGTCTGGGCGCCCCTCAGGACCCAGGAACCCACCCTCCTGCGCAGAGAGCTCCCTGTGGGCTCCTTGGTTCTAACAACATCACAGGACACATTTCCCTTCGCCAAATCCACTGTCTTCATTCCCCTGCAGTGTGGTCATGAGTCACTCAATTAAACTCACAAGTGCAAACTTCAGTCTAAGCATCTGTGTCCCAGGGAACCTGAGCTAAGACACTATGGTACCCCACATCATTCCATGCTGCCCACAACCACACTTTGTACAGGTGCACACACCACCCACTGGGCTCATGTGGAGGCCCACACTTACTTCTAAATCCCTCCTGCAGACTCCTAAAGGCTCCCCATCACTTCCTCTACTTTTCCTCCTCTCTTCCACACATGCAGGAGCAAACAGGGCTGAAAGGCACAGGGACCTCTGGGCACAGGCACTGCAAAAGATAAGCACACAAGCTTCAAATGGAAGGATACTGCGGCATTCAGTACGCAGATCAAGAAGCTGGCCCTTCTGGGAAAACACTGAGAGAGGTCAGCTTAGAAATAAGCTGTGAGTAAACTTCTTCATGAATAGGTGGGCTCTGTTGGAAGGTTTCAGGTTAATCCTGCCCATCCTTCATCATTTGCAGAGAACAGTCAAGAGGGACTTGAGGGGAAAATCTACTTAATAGCTCACAGCTCACCATTTTAATAGGTCACATAAAAGGGAAGAAAACAGATTATTAGACTGACTGACTAGTTTTCAACTGTTAGATCACTGACATCCTTACCAAGTACCAAATAGGCCCTCACCCATCTTCTACGTTGTCATTTGTTCTTTCTTTTTTTCTCCTCAGTTTTTCCATGTCTCTGTCAGCCACTCTGTTTCTGCTTTTCCTGATCCCCCTCGCCCACATATTTACAGGGATGGCGACTAAGTTGTTCTCTCTCCCAGAAGAACACATTTTCCAGACGTTTGGAATGTGGGACGTAACAATACCGGGGGGTCACACGGCTGGCCCAGGTCCCCTCCCCCCACGCGGGGTGGGGGAAGGGCTGACTACCAAGGGGAGGCCCGCGGAGCAGAAGAACCGGCCTGAGGACGACGCGGGGACAGAAGGGCTGGGAGGGAGGGGATCCCAGAATCCCGGGACCCGGGAGAGGACGCGGCCTCACGGGAGCGGGGCGGCCGGCGCTGCCCTCCAGGGGCTGAGAGGGCGAGGCTGGGGGCGTGAGTCCACCTCGCGGAAGAGGACGTTACACAGAAGGGGGCGGAGGGAGTATAGGGTTCTGAGCAGGAAAATATCAGGAAAGGCAGTGTCAAAAGGCAGAAAAGCCAAGGGCAGGAACCAGCCTCAGAGCGGTTTCAAGCCCAAAGGAAAAGATCCCCCACCTGGAGCGGCGCCGTCCGGACTTACGTGGCCGGAGGGCCGGGTGCTGGGATTTTAGGTTCGCAGTGACTCCCACACCCTGAGGACGGAGGAAGGGGGACCACGCAGCACAGATTTACATTAGAAAGGAGGAACTTACGCTCTCCTGTGTGACCTTCTCTCCGCGCTCTCCGTTTCCGGGTCCTTTGGAAACTGCGCACGCGCGGTGTTAAGAGGCAGGACTTCCGGGGGCGGGGCCGAAGGGAGCGCAGGGAGCGGCGCGGGGGCGAGGAGGGAGCGCAGGGAGCGTCGAGAGCACGGAGGGTCGGGACATGGGGCGGGGCCTGCGCGTCCCTCCGCCTCCCTCCGCCCTGCTGCGAAGGCGTAGCTTCGGGTTTAGAAATGCTTGAGTGTCTTTCATGCCTTGTGATGCAGCGGTCGCTACCTCCTTATATTAAGTTACTGTCTTTAACTGTAACTCTGAAGCTTGCAGTTGTGTGGAACACTTACAATGAAACTAACATGTTTTTCTCTTAAGTTGAAAACAATTTAGTCAAAAGCTGTTTGTACCAGTGGGTTGCTAGCGAGGCTGAAGCGATTCAGAGGTCCACGAACTGGGATCGCCGTTATAAAATATAAATATATTTAAAAGTATATTCTCTTTTATATGAACGATGTGGTTGGATCCAGGAACATTTCCTGCAGTTAGACTTAATTTAAGCAGTTTAAGTAAACAAGAACTGGAGTTGTCTTTGTAGCGATGCAAACTAGAATGTG